TTTTTTGGCTTAACTGAATTTTTTGTCTCCAAGATTTCTTATTCTTTATAATATCTATTTCTTATAATATCTATTTCATGAATAATTTCTCATTCATGAGTTCAAGAATTATTTTGATTTCATTGAATTGTCTACTTGTATTCTCTTTTGTCTCTCTTGGCTTTCTTAAGACATTATTTTAAATTCGTTTTCAATAAACTCATAAACTTCTGTAAATTTGGGGGTCAGATACTGGGAAACTCTCGCGTCTCTTCAGTAGTACTGTGTTCCTTTGTGCTTTCATGTTTCTGGTATTCCCTCATTAATGCTTGTGCATTTTCTGGTACAGTCTCCTCTTTCAAATGTCAGAGAGTGACTTTCATAGGGGAAAGCTTTCATCTGATGATGGGCCTGTGGGCAACAGTTGGGCAGAGTGCAGTGGTTCTGGTACTATGTGAATGCAGTGTTGCAGTCTCCATACAGCTTCTCCAGCTGGATTAGTGTTCGTGATGACTGTAGATGCCTTAGTGGCTTGGCTGCAGGAGTTTGTGGCAGTGACATTTATTGTGTAGGCTATTATGACAGGGGCTTTAGAGATCCTACTGTCCTTGACTTTCTGACACTAGGAAGCCTTAGCTGAAGAGACCTTTGTTGATATTGGGTCTGACATGGTTCACAGGCAGTCATTGACACTGGTATTCAGGGCATAATATCTATTTTAATTCCCTTGGGCCACAGAAACATAAAATTAAAATACTCTGGCATTTCACTTAAACAATGCATGCCACCTTAATTCAAGCACACTTTTTGACTTGAATAAACTATAAATCTTAGTTTAGGATAATAAACTAATTCAAAGAAGTTCGATGAGATTGACATTGGCATTTGCCTTGAAGATGCAACTTGCTGTAATTATCTTTGACTATGCATAACATTAAACAAAAATGTAGGTCCATGGCCAGGCGCAGTGGCTCACACCTGTAATCCCAGCACTTTGGGAGGCGAGGCAGACAGATCACCTGAGGTCAAGAGTTTGAGATTAGCCTGGCCAACATGGTGAACTCTGTCTCTACTAATAATACAAAAGTTAGCCAAGCGTGGTGGCAGACACCTGTAATCGCAGCTACTTGGGAGGCTGAGGCAGGAGAACCACTTGAACCTGGGAGGCAGAGGTTATGGTGAGCCAAGATTGTGCCACTGCACTCCAGTCTGGGAGACAGAGTAAGACTCTGTCTTAAAAAAAGTAGGTTCATAAACCAGCAGAAAAATATCTAGACTATTCAAAGCACATTATTACAAACAAAAATAAAATATTTTTCTTCACTTTGTTTTTTCCAACTTGTATCTTAGGTTCAGGGGGCACACGTGCAGATTTGTTAAATGGGTAAATTGTGTGTTTCAGGGTTTGGTTTACAGATTATCGAGTCACCCAGGTAATGAGCATAGTAGCTGATAAGTACTTTTTGATTCTGATCCTCCACACTCTACCTTCAAGTAGTCTCTGATGTCTTTTGTTCCCTTGTGTTCATACGTCCTCAATGTTTAGTTCACACTTAGAAAGATAAACATGGAGTATTTGGTTTTCTGTTCTTACATTAATTTGCTTAAGACAATGGTCTCTACCTCCATCCATATTGCTGTGAAGGCCATGAAATTCTTGTTATGGCTGTGTAGTATTCTGTAGTATACAAGTTTACCAAATTTTCTTCATCTAGTCCACCACTAATGGGCATTAAGGCTGATCCTATGTCTTTGCCAAATTTCCTGAGGCCTCCTCAGAAGCTGAGCAGATGCCAGCATCATGCTTCCTGAACAGACTGCAAAACCATCAACCAGTTAAATCTCTTTTATTTATAAATTATTCAGTCTTAGGTATTTCTTTATACAATGGAAAAATTGACTAATATAATGTCCTTTCCCATTCCTTAATGGTTTTTGTTGAATTGTTTAAACTCCTTATAGATTCTAGATATCAGATCTTTCTCTGATGTATAGTTGGCAAATATTATCTCCAATACTCTAGGTTGTGTTTACTTTATTGATAGTTTCTTTTGCTGTCCTAAAGCTTTTTAGTTTAATTGTGCTTGTCAGTTTTTGTTTTTGTTGCAATTGTTTTCACAGTTTTCATCATGAAATCTTTGCCAGGCCCTATGTCCAGAATGGTATTTCCTATGTATTCTTCTAGGTTTTTTATAGTTTTAGGTTTTATATTTAATTTATGATGAGTCGATTTTTGTATATGTGAAAGGAAGGGGTCTGGTTTTAATCTTCTGCATATGGCTAGACACTTATCCTAGCACCATTTATTGAATGGAGTCCTTTTCCAATTGCTTGTTATGTTAACTTTGTCAAAGATTAGATGTTTGTAGATCTGCAACTTTATTTCTGGGTTCTCTAACCTGTTCCACTGGTCTATGTGTCTGTTTCTGTTCTAGTACTTTTAGTACTAGAACATTTTAGTTAATGTAGCCTTGTAGTGTAGTTTGAAGTTAGGTAATATAATGCCTCTGACTTTATCCTTTTTATTTCAAATTGTTTTGGCTATTTGAACTCTTGTTTCATATGAATTTTAGAATACTTTTTTCTACTTCTGTGAAAAATGTCATTGGTAACTTGATAGGAATAGCATTGAATCTGTAAATTGCTTTAGGCAGTATGGCTATTTTTACAATATTGATTCTTCCTAACCATGAGCATGGAATGTTTTTCCATTAATTTGTGTCATCACTGATTTCTTTCAATAGTGTTCTGTAATTCCAATTGTAGAGCTCTTTTACCTCCCTGGTTAGGTGTATTCCTAAGTATTTTATTCTTTGAATTGCTAATGTGAATAAAATTGCATTTTTTATTTGGCTCTTAGCTTGGACATAATTGGTGTCTAGAAATGTTACTTATTTTTGTACATTGATTTTGTATCTTGAAACTTTGCTGAAATTATTTATCAGATCTAGGAGCCTTTGGGCAGAGACTATGGGGTTTCCTAAGTATAGAATCATATTATCTGCAAAGAGGGAGAGTTTTACTTCTTCTTTTCCTTCTTTCTCCCGACTGATTAATCTGGCAAGGACTTCCAGAATGATGTTGAATAGGAGTAGTGAGAGTAGACATCCTTGTCTTGTTGTGGTTTACAAGGGAAATCCATCCAGCTTTTGCCTATTCTGTATAATATTGGCTGTAGATTTGTTATAGATGAGTCTATTTTGAGGTGTGTTCCTTTGATGACTAGTTTGTTGATGGTTTTAAAATGAAGGGATATTGAATTTTATTGAAATCATTTTTGCATCATTGAGATAATCATGTAGCTTTTGTTTTTAGTTATGTTTATGTGATGAATCACATTCACTGATTTGCATATGTATGTTGAACCAACCTTGCATTCCAGGAGTAAAGCCTACTTGATCATGGTGGATTGGCTTTTTTATGTGTTACTGGATTCAGTTTGCTAATATTTTGTTGAGAGCTTTTGTATCTATGTTCATTAGGAATATTGACCTGAAGTTTCCTTTTTTTCACTGCATCTCTGCCAGAGTTTGGTATCAGAATGATGCTTGCCTTATAGATTGAGTTAAAGAAGAATCCGTCCCCTTCAACTTTCTGAAATACTTTCAGTAGGAATGGTACCAGCTTTTCTTTATATTGGTAGAATTCACCTGTGAATTCATCTGGTTCAGGGCTTTTTCCGGTTGGTAGGTTTTTATTGCTAATTCAGTTTTGAGACTCCTTACTGGTCTGTTAAGTGTTTCAATTTCTTCTTGGTTCAATCTTAAGAGATTGTATGTTTTCAGAAATTTATCCATTTCTTCTAGGTTTGCTACCTTGTGTGCATAGAGGCATTTTTAATTGTCTCAGGATTTTTTACATTTCTGTGGCATCAGTGCTAATGTACCCTTTGTCATTTCTGATTCTGTTTATTTGATCTTCTCTCTTTTTTAAATAGTCTAGCTAGTGGTCTATCAATCTTTATCCTTTAAAAACTCAACTTTTGGTTTTACTGATCTTTCATATGATTTTTTTACCATCTCAATTTTGTTCAGTTTAGATCTAATTTGTGTGATTTCTTTTCTTCTATTAGCTTTGAGGTTGGTCTGCTCTGGTTTTTCTAGTTCCTCTAGGTGTGATGTTAGGTTGTTAATTTGAGATCTTTCTAACTTTTTTGTGGGAATTTATTGCTATAAAGTTTCCTCTTAACACTACTTTAGCTATGACCCAGAGATTCTGGTATGTTGTACAATCTGTTTTCATTCAGTTCAAAGGATTTCCTGATTTCTACCTTAATTTCACTGTTTACCCAAAAGTCACCCAGAAGCAGATTGTTTCATTTCCATGTAATCATATGGGTTTGAGAGAGCTTGTTGATATCTCTATTTTGATTTCACTGTGGTCTGAGTGTCACTGGTATTTTTTTTTTATTTGTTGAGAACTGCTTTATGGCTGAGTACATGGTTGGTTTTTAGAGTATTTCCCATACGCAGATGAGAATTAATATTCTGAGTTTTCTGCTTTGATGATTTGTTTAATACTGTCACTGTGGTGCTGAAGTCTCCCACTATTATTGTGTGTTTACCTAAGTCTTTTTGTTCTTCACTTTTTAAAATATTTAATTTGGACTATAATTTTCACATTTTATCTGTGTATATGAATTCAAATATTGTCTCTTCATTTAACTCATTCTTCTGTTTTCAAAAGACAGATGCTAGTATATCTGTATCCATCTATCTGTGCATTTTAAGTCACAATTGGCATTTTGTCTTTTAAGGAAAATATAAGGAGTGATTTTTAAAAAAGAAATATTTTGGTAATATTTGAACTGAAATTAACATGATATAATATTTTAAAATCTCTAAGCAGAGTTAAAATTCCAACTATTTCAAAATTATATTTAGACAAATTGTGCTTAATAACACTTAGAATCTTTTGCCTCTTCCCATAAGAGTATTGCAGTACCAGAAAAAATATAACATTCACTTATTCATTTTGACTGCAGTTTCTAATGTCATTTGCCCTGTGCATCCCAACTTCACCTTGTCAGAGAGTACTGCTTCCCCAAGGCTGCCCCAGGGTCCTGTTGACGGATTGCTCTAATTGCAGTTGGTGCTATAAACAAGGCAGCTACTCCATGCTCTGCCAGCACACGGAAATAAGCGCCAGCATCTGGTGTTCCCACAGGCTTCCCCTACAATGAGATTCATTTAAAATGTCACTAGGTAAAACGTCACATATTTCACTGACAGTTCAATAGTTATACATTTAACGCAGCGATATTAATAAAATGAGGTTTTCAAAAAAACCTGGGTTTTAAATATTTCCATGTTCTGCCATAAATAAAGCAAACCAAATACCCAGGCATAAGAGAAGCTGTTTGCCCCATTATAGTATCCTAAAAGTTTTCAAATTAAAATTTTTTCTTTATCAAGTTTTGAAAATTAAAGAATTGAAAATATATATCACATTCAAATTAAGAACATAAAACATTCGTGTATTTGCCAAAAAAACTAAATGAGGTTTTTATGAATTTTTAACTTTAATATATTTTTCATGATCACTATTAAAAGTGACAACAGTGTTTCTCAAAACATTTGAGAAAACAGAAAATTCTGAAAAAGCAGTAATTCCTGAGCAATGATCTTTTCAGTTAAATGTCTCACTCCAAGAAAAGTAACTCCTATGAAATAAATATAATCCAATAAGATATACCACAGTCCATGTTTTCCACAGACTCAAAATAGCATTATATATATTCAGGGGAATATCATGCATAAAAGTCTAACAATTTTGGCAAGCTATACGATTCAGAAAACGAAAACAAAAGAAAGGTTTATTTGATGTTTCTAAAAAGTGGAAAATAGGCAAGTTTCTGAACTAAATCAGTAACTCTCCAAACATTCTAACTCATAAAATGTATTTTAGCCAAGCCACATCCCCTCCCCCTCCTTCCCTAATCAATCCTCATCACTGCTACCGCTTCCTGTGTTTCTTAAGATGCCTGGAATGTTATCATATATTATGTGAGATATATAATCTCTATATCTATACACACACACACACACACACACATTGTACAAACTCTTTCATGGAATTTGGGGGTAAACAAATGGCAATAGGTTTTTTAAATCTTAGATCATTTCTGGAAACCTTGAAAAGGTTGAAATGCATTACTAATTTCTAAGATATAGGTACCTGTATCTAATATTTCCTAAACTTCTCTAAATAAATTCTCTATCTCAGTTTCCCATGAAACTCTGGAAATCACATGTAGGAAACACTAAACTAAAGAAAAAAGAGGATAGGATTTGCTAGTAGCAAACTCAACAATGTCCCCAAACCAAAAATAACAAAAGAATGAATGATATCTTGACAGTTAGACCTAATTTTTTTTTAATTTAGAAAAAAGAATGCATAATAAATGAGGTATAGCATAGTTGTCCAATAATTTAGAGGCAATACCCATTGATTAGATCATTGATTGGACACTTTTATTTTTAAATGGTTGTCTTTAATATTCTTTAGTGTAATTATGTTCCTATTTTCTTAAAAAAAACTATTTAAGTCTGTTTTATATTCTATTGGTTTCTATTATGCTCTTTTAATATCAAAAAAGTATTTGTTGCAATTGGAAATTTACTTCTATTATCACAACTATCCAAAGCACTATTTCAATGTATTTCATTACTGCTTCATACAAATCAACACATGCAAATAATATAAAAAGCCGCAAAATATAACTTGGTAATACATGTACATAATTTCACTCACAGATTTTGAAACCTTTAGTACATCAGTCTGAAATGAGTCTGCAACTTTATTATTTCTAACAAAGTCAACATTTTATTTTTACTCTTTTGATATGTCTCAGGACTGATCAGTCCCTTGAGTTCTAGATTGTGACTTAGGTAACGTGATCTCACCCACATGAAAATGATTTATTAACTGACCTTGTGCAACTGACTTACCCTGACTATGCTTCCATTTACTTGCCTGCTAAATGAGAATAAATCATTTTACCAATAATTTCTCAATAAGGTAGAGGCACTGAAGTAATATTGTAGGATAATTTAACCTCCACTGAAGAAAGATACTTTGTAGCCAATCAGAATTGAATTCCACTACAGTGCCAGTGTCATGAGAAAATAATTACTCACTAAAGGGTGATATTAGTATCATAATTAAAATGATACACCATGTAAGACTACCTACATAGAGGCCACAGTATTTTACTCTGCTTCCAACTACATATGTTTAATGATAACAGTAAGGGCAGATCAAATATTAGAAATACAGTCCTATGCCATATAGCAGTGTTTTAGATTATGATACCATATTTTTTTGGCTTTGTTTTGGTGTTTGAGACAGAGTCTCGCTCTGTCATGCAAGCTGGAGTGCAGTGACGCGATCTTGGCACACACAACCTCCACTTCCCCAGTTGAAGTGATTTTCCTGCCTCAGCCTCCCAAGTAGCTGAGACTACAGTCATGCACCAGAAAGACACCAACTGCGGCGGATGAGATAGCCTCTACAAGAATTAAAGATTTCAAGGAAAGAATAACTGTGCTGGGATTGCTCATACAGCAGACACATATCTGTGTAAACTTGCTGTGATAGGCAAAATTTTGTCTGCTGTTTTCAAAGAGTGAGTGTCCTACCAGTCCATTGTTGCACTAACAAAAAGGCATGAATCACTAGGAACATCTTTTTTTTTTTTTTTTTTTTTTTTTTTGAGATGCCGTCTCACTCTGTCACCCAGACTGGAGTGCAGTGGCACAATCTCGGTTCACTGCAACCTCTGCCTCCCAGGTTCAAGCAATTCCTCTGTCTCAGCCTCCCGAGTAGCTGGGATTACAGGCACCTGCCACCATGCCTGGCTAATTTTTGTCTTTTTAGTAGAGATGGGGTTTTACCATGTTAGCCAGGCTGGTCTTAAACTCCTGACCTTAGGCAATCTGCCTGCCTTGGCCTCCCAAAGTGCTGGGGTTACAGGCATGATACCATATTTTTACTGTACTTTTCTATGTTTAGATATATTTAGCTACATAAATACCACTGTGTTATAATTGCCTGCAGTATTCAACACAGTAACATGTTGCACAGGTTTGTAGCCTTGGAGCAATAGACTGTACCATTAGCCTAGCTATGTAGTAGGCTATACCACTAGGTTTGTGTAAGTATATGCTATGATGTACACACAGAAAATCTCCTAAGGATATATTTCTCAGAACATTTCTCCACTGTTAAGCAATGCATGATTGTATTAGTAAAAAACTACACCATACTTTTTAAAATATAGGATTTTAACTTCCATTGCAAATCTGATCCTGTACCAAACTAATTTTCATCAAATATTATACTTATGGAATATAAAAATTGTGATAATGTAGCATTACTATTAGAACAGTAAAGAAGTGATTCACAAAATATCACAATGTTCTTTCATAAGTTAATTGAACACAAAAAAGTTCAATTGCTTTGTGTTTTACTGTCTATTCCCCCGAATATAATTCAATGTTATGAATAAAATGTTTTCCTATTTTAAAATAACTTTAATATTTATATATTTTACTTTTTTCTTTCTGAAGACATTCTAGTTGGTATCAAATTAATTGTGATATTAAAGAAATTATCCATTTCACAAATAGCCTGATGATTAACATAAATATTAAGTTCTGAATGTAAACACTTTAGATAATATAATGCAGCACAGAACAAGATATTTCATCAGAAACTATTGTTTACATACAAACAGTAATAAAGTGGGCAACTCTGGCATATTTATTTAATAAATATTCTGGGAATAATTTTGTGAATAAGCCAGATAAGGTCCTATTATAATGGAACATATATTCTCCTAAGTATGGATGTGTGTATGTGTGTGTTTGTATGGAATGATATTAGAAATTACATAGATGCTGCAAGCTATTTGTGTTCAATAAACAGACAGTGCAGTAATAAACAGAGAACGTGTATGTTCTCAGTACCTACCACCACTAGTAGCTTCAGAAAACTGAAGCAAAGCCTATAAAGCATCTTTTATTATTAAAGCTAAATAAAAGTGACTCAGTGGCTTACTGATTTTACTTAAAATTCTTCTCTCCTTCCCTATGCACATGCACACACACACAGACAAGCATGCGCACATAAGCAATAAAATCTCTCACAACGTCTTCTAAAAGTAGTCAGTAACACACTCAGCATACTGAGCTGCCTTAAGAAAATAACACTGATTCCAGAACTTGGTTTTCAGTAAGGGGCAATAATCCAAACAACATTCAATTTAAAAACAAGACGATTCTAAGAATGCAGGGATTTTAAACAAACAACATATACACCAAAAGCAATAATGCAGCCAAAAATATCAACTTTAAAGTTCTTCAAGCTCAAATCAATGTGGTTACCAGTTGTTTAATTCCTTTCTTCCAAACTAAAGTTCACATTATTAGTTGCTTCCTAGATAATAAAGGCAGAAAAGGATTTTTACAATGAAGAAGCCAAAATTCTAAGCTTTCAGCTGTGACAAATTATACAATTTTACCAGAGAGATTTATAAAACATCAGTTGCTAATATTCGCAAGATTTATAATGTGGGCAACAATGGTATAAAGCACAGAAACCAAAACAGTTACCAAAATACTTTAACATTAACTTCCATATATAATTTTCCACCAGCTATGATTCACTGCATTATTATGTATTATAGATGACAAGTCCCTCGTTCAAAAGCCAGTTACTATCTCACCTTCTCACATATTTTCTACTGAGGTTAGGTTTTCAACACAGGAAAGCAGTAAAATACAACCACTTAGCAAAATAAAGTTACAATTAAGCACTGGAGTTAAATTTTTGAGCAAAAAAATTAATTGCTTTATTATTAATCCTATGATTCCATTTCTTCAAGGCTTGAGGTCAAGGCTACTTGTGATTTCACAGACACTGACACAAAAATTTTTGAGTCAGCTGCAGTTTTGCCTCTTTTTTTGTGGCAGGATTAGAAATACATCTTGTCTCTTTCTGAACACTGCTTTTGAGAAATGTCACCAAGGCATGCTTCCACAGCAGTTCTTAGGTGAAGACAATATTAGCAGCATCCTTTATCGAGTAGTAGCAAATTTTATTTCAGCAGACAGGTGCTGTAGTCGTTTTGTTTATTTCAGGAGAGTGATAAAACTGGAAATATCATTTGCT